GCTCCATTTGCACTCTCCTGGCGAGGCTGGATGCCTCAGCGGGTTTTGTCTTGTTTTTTGCTCTTTAAGCTAAGAGGGTGCAGCTGGGGCGGCCCACAGGGTGAGCTTCATGGCTTCGGCTGCGAGATGGGAGTGGAGGAGTGAGTGCAGTTCAGGCGGAGGTGCAGGAAGAGGATGAGCTGGCAGCGTTGAGCATCAGGAGCGGCCAAGAGAACAACAGGCCCCAGGCGCAGCTGTCCCCACCACTCTTCCCCCAGAAGTAGCCCCGTCTCGCGAGATGTGGGGAGTTCACTGCGGCCGGCGGAAGGGTCCTGAATGAGAAACACCTGCGTGCTCCACCGGCCAGCGAGGCTTCTTCAGTTTGAAAAGGGTCTGGCTCACAGTGCGTGTCATGCAAACACCAATCCGCCTCACCTGCTCTTCACCCCCGCGCCCCCAGTCGGAGTCACACTGCAGGGCATTTCCCCCAGGCCTGGCCAGGTACTGGGGATAGGGCTCTGGCCCAGAGGCTGTGTACTAGCGGGCAGGACCGCCTGAGGCCAGAACCCGGGAATGAAGTGCACAAAGAGTGAACGAAAGTCCTTCCAAGAGGAGGAAGGACCCTGGCAGCAACCATCTTCTGAACAGCCCTGGGAGCCAAAACAAACATACGCCAAGGTCCAAGGCTGTGGCAACCCAAACGCACCATTTCACCGCACGTCCTCAGAGCCAGTTGTTCCTCCCTTCAGCAGCGAGGTGTCTAGAATTCAGCCCAGAAGATCTCTGCTGCCTGCTCCTTGAGCCTTCTCCCTGAAGAATTACCTCCGGGCATGGTTCTCTCTTCCCGACCCAGCCCAACAGCCAGCACCCTGCGGTGGGAAAGCGGGCCTCTCCACCCAAGCCGCTCCACCCGGAAATGGTCTCCTCTTATGAACTCTACCCAGGAGCCCATTGGCCTGGGCGGGGCCTGGCCCGGAAAGGGAGGTGCCGGCTTTCCCAGGAAGACAAACAAGGTGCAGATGCCTTGGGGGCTTCAGCTGTGGTGGGAATGAATGCCGGTCTTGATGGAGGGGCAGGGAGAGCGTGGGCAGAGATGAGAAACACCTGGGTGCCCCGACCCTGCGTTGGCCATCTAAGTGCTTGCTGAAACATACAACCTCAGGGATCTTTATAATGTGTAATATAAAAAGATAATACATAAAAGGGTAGCTTTTCACAATAGGTGAATGCTAGAGGTTGTAAAAGATTATAAGGTTGAATACTTGTTGGTGAGAGATGACAAATAAAGTATAAAAGCATCCTCTTCATATCAATTTTGCTGGGATAGCTCTGATACTTGACGATATCTAGATGTCCTAGAAAATTGCAAGTAGGTTATTGAGTGCCATGTTTGCTTCATTAAACTAATGGATGGTGCTAGTCTATGAAAACCCTGTGACAACTAGGTATATTTTGGTCCATTCATTCATTCAACAAACACTTTTTTAAGGATCTATGATATGTCAGGTATAGTCCTAGATTCATAAACAGAAAATCCACTGTCCCTCTCTCAAGAGGCCCACCTTAAAAGGACAGAAAACAAACAAATAACGGGCAAGCCAGGGCAGCCTTGAAAGCCCTTATTTTAAGCAGACTAGGAAGTTAGGGCACTGCTGACGATTATTAGCAGGGTACAATATAAACAGTTCCATATTTTAGGAAGGTAACCCTAGTAGCAGTGAGAACAGTAGGAAGAGCAGATGGTTGAGGGCTGTGAGGACAGAGGCAGAGAGGCCAGTTAGAGATCAGGTGAGAGATAAGAGGTAAGACAGGGGTGGAGGGGATGGAGAGGATAACTCCAGAGATGTGTAAGGAAGCGGGAACGAGAGAGAGAAAGGTTTAGGATGTTTGAGACAAAGGAAAAGCTCAAGCACGTCAAACCGGACAGTTTTCTGCTTAGGCGACTGCGTTTATAACTCACAGAGCTTGGTAGCATTACAGTTGAAGTTTGTGAGCCTGGTCCTGGGAAAAGATGGACTTAACTCCACCTTTGTCTCCACCAAAGAAACTCCTCAGGGCAGCACCACACCTGAAGTCCCAAGGGCTATGAAGAGGAGGATTTGATGTTCCACAAGGGGAGGGGCTGTTTCCATCACTCTACAAAGTTCCTGGAACATCATGGCAGAGTGAGTATTAACCAGGTGCTTGCTGAAGAGGGAGTGAAGGAGGCCAGCAATCATGGCTGCCCTATATCCCTCCCCCTGCCACAGGCAACCCGTTCTACCAGGGACAGAAAATCAAGAGGAAGGAGCATGTTTCCCCTTGATGGTCAGAGACACTTTCTAGAGACATAAATGAAACTCTTGTATTGTGATTACAGCCTCTAAAAATGCTTGAGATACTTGGTAGAATCCTGGGGTTCTGAAGCACTCAGACTAAAACAAAAAAAATGTTATTCCAGGCAATCGTTCTTACTATCATTCATGATTCCTGACTTCTCAGTTCCTTGAGCGAGGGAGGAAATGAAATAAACAGCTTTCAACAAATCTTGAGAGAGGCCTTCAAAATAATTTATAAGGCTATGTTACTCAATTAGCAGTGTGAATCAAAAACATTCCATTATGGATTTGAAGCATTTTTACTCGAGTTTCTATTGTTCTTTTCATTTAAGTCCATAAACTTATCATATTTATTTAAAAGTCCACATTGGGGAAAAAAAAAGGAAAAAAATTGTCCACATTGGAAATTTTCTTTTTTTTTTTGCCAGAAGTTTCTTTACACTATCCTTTAAATCATCTCTTCCCAGCCTGTGATATCTTATTTATCCAAGTTCCCCCTTTACCAATTGAATACATTAACAAAATTATCTGTTTTTCCTTTTACAAGCCAAGAGTCTCTGACTTCACTTCTCTGGCTTGCATGCAACAAGATTGCTTAGAATGACTCACATAATGTTCCCAATTATCCATGTCCATGGCAAGAATTAGGGTGAACAGAGAACCACCTCTATTCACTTTGCCCTGTTCCTATCAGCTTCCTGGAAACTTCACTCCTTTCACCTGGGTAACAAACAGAATGATAGAGCACAGCTAAGTGGTATTTACTTTTGTTTTAAATTTATCGTGTCATTTCAACAGCACTTTTTATCCTCATATTAGAGCAGGGGAAAACCCCAGCAAGCCTTAATCACTAGATTTGCAAGAGCAGAAGACATATACGGTATCAGTAATGGTGCAGTTACAGAAGCATTTATTTGATAAGCAGGTTTGAAGTTTCCATCAAGGTATCTCTTCCCTTCTCATGTCTCTGCATTTAGGAATTCAAGGATTTCACGTAAAGTCATTTTGAGTAGGATCTGCTTTTGTCTAATCCCAAAGCATATTTGAAATTTTAGTTCAGAAGTCTTTAAATGACAGATACATATATAGATAGATACAGATATAGATATAGACATAGATTTGACATAGAAATAAATTCCAAATTGGTGCCCTGCTGCATACTTCAAAACTGCTTTTTGCTCCTTCCGTAGAGATTCTCTCTGCCTGAGAAACTACCTTACCTTTAGATCAACCAACA